ACCATCCCGAAGGAGATCTATCCTTATGAACTGTGAATAAAAGTGTCTGGTATTGGGGAAGGCCCTAATGCCAACGCGCATCATTAACCACTTCATTGATAGACCTATAATGAAGGTCGTGGATACAATTAATTTCAATTCATTTCACACTTAATATAATTTTAGTTTAAGGGATTTTCCTAGACATGCTCCTAATAATTTAATTTGCACATAGGGCGATTAAATCACATAAGGACATGCATGATTAAACACGCAATAATAAATGAGAAACACTAATCTAACTATCATGGCCAATTAATCAATCTCAAAAGTTTCAGAAAAAGCAATCTCTGTCCTTTGTTGAATTGCATCTTCCAATTCAGGATATGGAATTCCTTCTTTCTCCGTGACACCATGGCTTCCCTCCGTGTGTTTGTCACCTCGTCCCATCGAGATTGGTCCATGTGCACCAGATCAATAATGAATAATATAAAAAATAACAATTACATAATTCATCCTATGAACTGCGCAGAAGACGTACATGAGTTTTCTGTGAAAGCAGTAAACTATGCGGTGTCCCACCGCGCGAATAATTTATTACAAGTGATGTGATGAATTTAGCTCCGATTTGTCTGGATCACCTCTAGACTGTCGTGAATACCTGTAAGAACTCAACGCCAGAGGGGTTGCCGGCGAAGGGCCTCCGACGCTCAAGTTAGTAAACAGAAGAGCAGAAGATGGAAGTTCTATAGTCTAGAGCTGTAATGCATGTAGAAGTGTGTAGAATGTGGGAGAGAGGAGTTTAGGTTGTACCTTAGTCCCCTTTTATAAGGAAAATACCTACCCAAAAAAACCTGCCCGGACTGCTCTCGGTCAGCCTGCCCGTACTGCCCTCGGTCAGCCTGCCCGTACTGCCTGAGATTTAATTTTATCTGTAACTTAATCACATCTGAGTCATCATTAGATTCCTTCTTATCCATTTACTGCCTCTAGATCATGCCCTTGTAGTCACAGAGACCTCTAGTAGCGGAGACCTCTAGTCATAGAGACCTCTAGCAGCGAAGACCTCTTGCAGCGGAGATCTCTAGTAGTGGAGACCTCCAGTAACGGAGACTTCTAGTTATAGAGACCACCTCTAATCACAGAGACCTCTAGTTGTGGTGAGCTTTTGCTCCTGTTTTGTCAAGTCGAGACGAGATGACCTCTAGCAGGTTGAGGCGAGATGACCTCTAGCAAGTCTAGCAGGTCGAGGTGATCTCCAGTATGTCGAGATGAGCTCTAATAAGTCTAGCATGTCGATGTGACCTCTAGCATGTCTAGCTGGTCGAGGTGACCTCTAACAAGTCTAGCAGGTCGATGTGACCTCTAGCATGTCTACCAGGCCTAGAAGGTCGAGGTGACCTCTAGCAAGTCTAGCAGGTCGAGGTGATATCTAGCATGTCTAGCAGGTCTAGCAGGTCAAGATGACCTCTAGCACGTTTAGCAGATCTAGAAGGTCGAGGTGACCTCTAGCAAGTCTAGCAGGTCGAGGTAACCTCTGTCTAGCAGGTCGTCTAGCAAGTCTAGTAGGCTGAGGTGACCTCCAGCATGTCTAGCAGGTCGATATGATGTCTATCAGGTCGAGATGACCTCTACTTATCTCCTTAGAGCAGCTCGAATTTATCATACTTAGTCACAGAGATCACCTTTACTTCTCCATACTTCATCGTGGGGAGCTTCTCATACTTAGTCACAGAGAGCACCTCTTCCTCCCCATACTTAGTCGTGGGGATCTTCTCATACTTTAGTCACAGACAGAACCTCTACCTCCCCATAATTAGTCGTGAGGAGCTTCTCATACTTGGTTACAGAGAGCATCTCTACCTCCCCATACTTAGTCATGGGGAGCTTCTCGTACTTAGTCACGGAGAGCACTTCACACTTAGTCACCGAGACCTTCAAGTCTCGTTTAGACATCCTCAAATCGCTCTTCATGGTTGCACGTGGACCTCTTCATACTTGACTCCAGTTCACAAGTATGGCTATATCAACAAGCATTCACCAACCCCAAAGCTCATCGACATGTCCGAAGCTTATAAAACAAAATACATAAATTAAAACCATACATACGGGCCATAGTAGTTGGATTTGAAATCACTTGCAAACAACTTATTTGCAATTTCTAATCTTTTATGTTGCTGCGTCCGTACACAATTACTTCATGTAAACAGGTAAGTCCTAATTAAAATTACGCTCAAAGTTGAATTAAATCTGGGCTCTGATATGAGTTGTTGGGTTTTATTAGGAACGTCAACGACATGCACAATATTGAACTTATCGGAAAAAATCTTAAAGCAATGGAATCCATATTTAGGATTTAGACAATACCTTTTAAAATTGTTGTCGACTCTTCGACGTTACTAATTTTCTCTGTAGGAGATCTTCTGGACCGCAGAGTACGATGGGCTGCCGGACTAGGCTTCCTTAACAGGAATCTGGTCGTCAGGTCACAAACGGATCATCGAGACAAGGACTCGTCGGGCTCGGGCCGATCAAATGTGGCTGGGCTCGATCAGGTTGCAGCGGGCCTCGATCGAGATACTGCGGTGCGCGTGCGGGCATCTACTGGTTGGGGCTCGTCCTGGGCTGGCTCATCGGACGCTGGTCACGGCGGTGCGGCAGATGCGTGCGATTCGCTGGCTGCTGGCATGCGCAGGCGGCGTGCAGGAAAGTCTAGCGCGTGCGGTCACATGAGTCCTACTTCTACGAGGACTTGGACATGGGCGATGGGCGCGTTCGGCTGGGCTCACGCTCGAAGCTGGAAGATGTGCGCGACAAGCCAGGCAGGCAGGCATCGCTGGGATCTCGTGGGGTCATCGCAGGGCATCTTCGGCTGCGGTTGGGCGGCGTGCTGCCGCAGACGTTGGCTCACGGCTGGTCGCGGCTGCGGGTGATTTCCGGCGGCGATGAGTGGTGGCAATACGGTGGCTCCGGCGTCTGAGGTCGGTGGCTCTAGTCGCTGAAAAATATGTATGTATAAAAAGCTCGAATAAATATTACTGTTTGTCCCGTTTTTGTTGCTATTCTCGTTGCTATTTTGTGTGTCGTTTCCCCTGTTTTAGGTCTTTTCCTAGGTATTTTTGGTCCATTTAGTCGTTTCTTGTGTTTTTATATTTATTATGCCGTGTTTAGTATTTTCTTTGTTTTTCCTCCTATTTTCTTGTTTTTCGTGTTTTTCCGGTTGTGGTGGTTTCAGGTTCAGATGATGATAGCGGTATTCAGGTCCGGCTCCTAGGAGTTATACATTGGTTTGAGTTTATAGCTCGGGCAGTACCCGAGAAATGCGAGACGAGAGCTCATGAGTTCGAAACTTGGAGATTTTGGAAGCTGCCCAGGCCATAACGCCGCTATGGCCATAGCGGCGCTATGGCCAACCCTGAAAGCGACGCTGGATGCATAGCGAGGGGCTGAGGCTTGACTGTCTTCAACCATAGCGGCGCTATGGTCATAGCGCCGCTATGCCCCATTTTGTAACTGAAGCTATTTTCTCGGAATTTCGAATTGGGAAGCTTAAGGATCGCGTTTTCTTCACTTTTGAACATTCCCAGACTTCGTTTTTTTACAGTTTTTCATCTCTAGAACATTTCTTTCTCTTACTTTGATCTTGGATTGGATTTTGGAGCATAAAAACTCCTTTTCTAGCTTTGGATCTTGAATTGCTCGTTGTTTTTCTCGACATTGGTTTTTCTTATCAATCGTAAGCATCTTTTCTCATTTAATTATGATGTTTTGTGCTTGGGTTGCTATGAGTTCTTGTGTTAAAATTGCAATGAGTGGCTAAATTCATTAGCTAGGGTTAGGGGATCATCGTTCCGGTTCGATTTCATTTATGTGTTTGATTAATTTGCTCAATCTTTTCGAGCTGTGCTTAACCTAGGGTTTAGATGTTTGATCACAATCTCAATCTAATTAATCGATTTTGAAACCGAAAGGGGAGAAATCGTTTGACCTAGGCTCGTTAAGAATAGACTTGTTCGGTGACGTATTGTCTATGGGCTAATCGATTTGTGATTGATTTGTCTACGTTTATTCTCTTGTTTCGTGAGATATTGAGAATGAACCTCTAGACGAGTTAGTTTTTGAGTCCTCTAGTCGAGTAATTGATTGTTCGTGAATTGTTTTGAGAACCGGAGACGATATCCCCGATACCCTAGCCCTTTCATCATTATTCGAATTTAAACTTTAAATTGAGAATTTGAAATTGCTAGTCTTGTTCTTGTTATTCGTAGTTTATAAAATCAAACCAAACCAATCGAATTAGAGTGTTTAGGACTTGTTTCTTCTTTCGTGTGTTCAAATAGTCGTGCAATTTATTCCGGCTGACCTTCCTTGTGATACGACCCGGTGTCAAATCTTTGGGTTCTACTCCGGTTAAAAATATTTACAACAAATTGGCGCCGTTGCCGGGGAAGGTTTAGGACTTATTTTGTGCGCCTATTCATTTATTTTCAGTGTTTCTCTTATTTTCTGTGATTTCTTGTTTTTTGTGTTTCTTTTGTTTTGTTTTCTTTGTCTAGTTTCACTGTTCTCTTTGTTTAATTTCTCCTTGTTCATTTTGTATCTATCTGGTACCCGTGACGTTTTTGTTGTTTGTGTTTATGCGTACCAGGAGTGGTCGTGTAATCATCCCAGACAACGAATCCATCCAACAGGACCTACGAGACTTACTAGATAGTCTCGCACCAGTATCATCTACATCAGAAGAACAAACCGACATGGCACAGAACGATCAAGAAGAAGAAGTCAACAACCCGGCTAAGTCTCTTCTTCGCGATTTGGCTCAACCAGTGATTGGGTCGGTGACTTCGTGCATACGATTGGGGACAGCGCTCGGAACTACGAGCTCAAAACCATCCACTACAACCAGCTCCCCTCCTTCCATGGTCTTCCCAATGAGGACCCACTTCATTTCATGCGTGAGTTCTACATGTCCTCCAAACGTTTCCACTCCACGGATTGAATGAGGACCAGCTGAAAATGAGGTGTTTTCCGGAGACACTCAAGGATAGGGCTAAGGCGTGGCTGATGACACTTGCTCCAGACTCTCTTACCACTTGGGAGCAAGTGTACACGAAGTTCATCGGGAGGTATTACTCCCACCAAAAGACTCAAGAGCTGCGGTCCCAAGTTGTCTCTTTTGCCCAACAACCGCACGAGCCACTTCATGAAGCGTGGGAATGCTTCAAGGACCTACAGAGACAGTGCCCACACCACAATATCCCTCCGGCCCTTTTGATGAATGGCTTCTATGATTCTCTCCACCAGAACCTTCAGTACATGGTGGACAATGCAGCTGGTGGAGACATTGGGGCGAGAACAGCGGAGGAGATGATGGATATTTTTGAGGCGTTAAGTTCTAGCTCGTCTCAGAAGAGCAGTCGAGGAAAGAGAGCGGTGGTCAATGAAGTATCTTCGGGACGAGACATGATGGCCCATCAGATAGCCGAGCTGACGGAGCAAATGAGGCTAATGAATGCTCGGACAATGCAGCCAGTCCAGACCATGACAGTGGATACATGCGGGGCGTGTGGAGCCCAAGGGCACCGATCAGAGGTGTGCCCATCAGCTTTCGACCATGAGGTGGGAGAACAATATGCAGATGTCAACGCCCTCCAAGGTTATCAGAACCGGCAGCCCAATGACCCGTTCTCCAACACTTACAATCCAGGGTGGAGAAACCACCCACACTTCTCGTGGTCCAACAACAACAACACTCTCCAACCACCTCGTCCAAGTTTCAACCTACAATAGCCTCGTCCCAACCTCATGCAGCAGCAATCCCGTCCTAATTTCATCCCTCGCCCAACCTACCAACAACAACAGCCACCTCAACAGCCAGCCCAAGGGTCCGGTTCAAGCTCGTCTAACCAAGATGACAAGCTGGACAAGATCCTTCAGTTTATCACCAACCAGGACTCGTCTATTAAGCGTCTTGAGACGCAAGTGGGCCAACTTGCCACGAGAGTCGGGAATATGGAGGCCGAGTCCGACAAAGGGAAACTTCTGAGCCAGCCCGAGCAAGCCAAGGCAATAACGGTGTTGAGGAGCGGGAAGGAAGTGGATAACAAAGTAAGGATGCCCGAGCCCGACGACCCTAAGCCAACCACACAGCCCAAAGAAGCAGGGGAGAATGTGAAGAGCAAGGAAGCCAATGTAGAGAAGCCGACGGACGGCTCGATGCTGCACAAGTCTCCAAATCCTTACAAACCACGCATCCCTTTTCCAAGCCGACTTCGAGACGAGAAGCAAGAACAACAATTCCGGGAACTTTACACTATGCTCTCGAAAGTCAACGTGAACTTGCCCCTCTTAGATGTGATCTAGAATATGCCCTCGTATGTGAAGTTCTTCAAAGACTTGGTCACAAAGAAGAGAAATTTCGGCGATGGGGAGAAAGTGGTAGTCTATGAGGCGGCAAGTGCAATGCAGCATGACTTACCTAAGAAGGAACGAGATCCTGGGGGTTTCGTGATCAAAATAGCCCTCGGGAATGGGAAGGAAGCTTCGGGGATGCTTGACCTCGGAGCGGGAATCAATCTTATGCCGTTTTCTATCTTCCAGCGGCTCGGTTTAGGAGATTTGAGATCAACCCGTATGTGCCTTCAACTTGCTGACCGTTCCATTCGATACCCTAAGGGAGTGGTGGAAGATGTTCTTGTTCGTGTGGGAAAGCTCATCGTCCTGGTGGACTTTGTAGTGCTCGATGTGGGAGACGTTCACGAGAATGGGAAGGACCATACCATCCTTCTCGGCAGGCCGTTTATGGCCACCACCAACACCCTCATTGATGTCAAGAACGGGACCTTGAACATGACGGTCCTAGGCGAGTCCGTGTCTATCTCTGTTCGAGAGGCCACATCTGGCCCTTCGGCGAACTATATGGAGGAATACGCCTTTATTGATGTGAGTGACCCGTTTGTGGAGGAGATTGTTGTTCGAGAGTTGGAAGAGAGGTCATTGCCCGATCTCGAAGAGGAAGAAGGACCGTTTGTTGAGCTAATGGAGGTCGAGGAACCAAGACCGAAGGCCCCACCAACGCTAGAGCTAAAAGAGTTGCCTCGTCACCTCAAGTACGTTTTTCTCGATGATGAGAAACAAAAGCCGGTTATCATATTTGCCGAGCTTAATCAAGAAGAAGAGAAGGAGCTGATCGAGGTTCTTAAGAAGAATCAAAAGGCCATCGGTTGGAGCCTAGGCGACATAAAGGGGATCAGCCCTTCCACTTGTATGCACCGGATCGTTTTAGAGGAGGGTGCCAGGCCATTTCGGGATAGCCAGCGACGGCTCAACCCGAACATGATGGAGGTAGTGAAAAAGGAAGTGTTGAAGCTTTACTCCGAGGGGCTCATTTATCCAGTGGCCGACAGCGAGTGGGTCAGCCCCATCCATGTGGTGCCAAAGAAGGGGGGCATCACGGTGATCGAAAATGAGAAGAAAGAGATGGTCCCCACCCGCATCACTACCGGATGGAGGATGTGTATTGACTACCGGAGACTCAATGTCGTGACCAAGAAAGACCACTTTCCGTTGCCGTTCATTGATCAAATCCTCGACCGACTCTCGGGCCACCAGTTTTATTACTTCCTCGACGGACTCTCAGGCTACTATCAAGTGGCCATAGCTCCAGAGGATCAGCCCAAGACAACCTTCACGTGCCCGTTCGGCATATTTGCCTTCAGACGTATGCCCTTCGGCCTATGCAATGCACCCGGGACCTTCCAACGGTGCATGTTCTCCATTTTCTCCGACATGCTCGAGGATTGCTTACAGGTATTTATGGATGACTTCTCTATATTTGGTACTTCATTTTCTGATTGTCTCCATATTTTATCTCCTGTGCTTGAAAGATGCATTGAGTCAAATTTGACTTTGAGTTGGGAGAAAAGTCACTTTATGGTGACTAGTGGAGTCGTGCTTGGTCATGTAGTGTCAAGTCGGGGGATTGAGGTCGACAAAGCAAAAGTTGATGTTATTGAAAAATTTCCCCCGCCTGTGAATGTGAAAGGTGTTCGAAGTTTTTTGGGTCATGCTGGCTTTTATAGGAGATTTATTAAAGATTTTTCAAAAATCAGCCAGCCTTTGTGTCACTTGCTTGCCAATGATGTACCATTTGTGTTTGATAATGCATGTGTTGAGGCTTTTGATAAATTGAAAAATAAGCTTGTGACTGCCCCTATTGTGATTGCACTTGACTGGTCTTTGCCCTTTGAGATTATGTGTGATGCATCGAACCTTGATGTGGGAGCCGTTTTGGGCCAACGAGTTGATAAATTGCTTCGTGTAATTTATTATGCTAGCTTGACCCTAAATGGTGCCCAATTGAATTACACGAACACTGAAAAAGAGCTATTAGCTGTTGTGTTTTCTCTTGAAAAATTTAGATCCTACATCTTGGGGTCTAAAGTGATTGTACATTCTGATCATGCAGCTCTTAGGTACCTTTTGAGTAAAACTCAATCGAAACCTAGGGTTATTAGGTGGATTTTGCTTTTGCAAGAGTTTGATGTAGAAATTCGAGATAGAAAAGGGTGTGAAAATGTTGTAGCGGATCACTTGTCTCGCATTGTTCCTTCTGATCCTTCACTTGCATTGCATGAGCATGTAGGCATAAATGATGATTTTCCATATGAGCATGCAAATGAAATGGTTAGTGTGCCTTGGTATGCAGACATAGTGAACTATTTGTCAGATGGTGTTTTGTTGGCTAACCTCTCTTCCCAAGAGAGGAAACGATTTGTTTTGATGTGCAGGAGCTACTTTTGGGATGACCCAATCCTTTTCAAGATGGGAAAGGACGAGATTCTTCGGAGGTGTGTGCCCGAAGAAGAGCAACATGATGTCTTGGCCTTTTGTCACGAGCTTCAATGTGGAGGACACTTTGGAGGTCGAAAGACCGCTTTCAAAGTCCTCCAATCAGGTTTATTTTGGCCAACTCTTTTTAAAGATGCTTATAACTTTTGCAAATCTTGTGACCGCTGCCAAAGAATTGGGAATATTGGCCCAAGGAATGAGATGCCCCTTGTGAGCAATTTACAAGTTGAGATTTTTTATGTTTGGGGCATCGATTTCATGGGACCGTTTCCCAAATCTTTTGGCTTTGAGTATATCATTCTTGCCGTAGATTACGTGTCCAAGTGGGTCGAGGCTATCCCCACACGGACCTGTGATGCTAATGTGGTTATCAAGTTCTTGCAGAGTAATATCTTGAGCAGGTTCGGTTTCCCACGGGCCAGTATAAGTGACGGGGGCAAGCATTTTTGCAACCGACTCTTCGAAAAGTTAATGAAAAAGTATGGCATTTCACATAGAGTGGCCACCCCATACCATCCACAGACCTCGGGCCAAGCAGAGACGAGCAACAAGCAAATAAAGACAATTCTCGAGAAGACGGTGAACTCGTCTCGGAAATATTGGTCAAACCGGCTCGATGATGCACTTTGGGCCCAACGCACAGCGTATAAGGGAGTTTTGGGGATGAGCCCGTTCCGGCTTGTCTATGGAAAGGCGTGCCACCTTCCAGTCGAGATCGAGCACAAGGCATTTTGGGCCATTAAGAAAATGAATTTTGATCTTGATGCCGCCGGGAAAGAAAGGATGTTGCAACTCTCAGAGCTTGAAGAGTTGAGGGATGAAGCGTACGAGAACTCAAAAATTTACAAGGAAAAGACCAAGAGGCTTCACGATTCAACCATTGTCCGGAAAACTCTTGTGCCCGGCATGAAGGTACTCTTATTCAACTCCCGCCTTAGACTTTTTCCGGGAAAGCTGAAGTCCCGTTGGAGCGGACCCTACGTCATCGATGAAGTGCTATCCCTAGGAGCCGTCCGACTCTGAAATCCGGCGAATGGAGAATTATTCGTAGTCAATGGGCAAAGGGTAAAGCCATACTACGATGGAGAGTTTGGAAAACACCATGTCGAGACCCTTAGTCTCGACGAACCCCCGTATCCTTGATGGAATTTATGCCGAGCTCCCGGCTTAAAACCGAGCAATTAATTGTACTATGTGTATTTATTTCTATTTATATTTTATTTACATATATATATATTCCAGTTCCTTTCTCCCCTTTAAAAAAA